TCAACGTTCGAACGTCTCCTTGCCTCCTAGACTCGCTTAGCCGGTAAAAGACTTCTTTGGTTCCATCTTCATCTATGATGACTTGAGAGGGGGAGGTTTTTGCCTTTTCCCTATTCTAGATCCCTGAAAATCGAATTTTCGCACCTATCGCACAATTCCTTCCGTTTTCCGACTTCAGCAATTTAGCTGTCAATTTCGTTTGAGTGATCTGGAATTCGGATTTCAGCATTTCTCTTCGACACCTTTTAAAGTTATCTCAGCTCCTCATGGACAAAGCCAGAAGAAGAGCGTTGAAAGGATGATTTTACTTCTCTTCCCTTTCCATTTTCCTCTTTCACAATCCTTTTTTCCAAAATCATGCGCGATCAGTTTGAATTTCTTTTTTTTGCTGTGATATCCTTGCGAATTCTTATTTCAGCCCATTTTTTCCCAAACCTCCTTATATAGGAGAGTTGCAAGAGCTAACCAAAAATCAGCCTGACAAATTCGATTCCCCCGTTGACAAATTGCGTCGGGATTTGCGAGATGATCCCTGAGCTCTGAGCCTAACTGCGTAACTATTTCCCACGACGCTCATTGAGATCTTGACAAACAGCCACACCCAGTTCATCCTCTTTATGACGTGAATTGATTTGTGACAAAATATGAGGACATCACGGAGCTGTGGAAGCTTAAGCTTCAGCTTTCATCAGCTTTGAAGCTTTTTGCTTTCACTTTTTATTTTCCAATACACATTTTTCAAAAATTTTGATATTTTACAGCCCATTTCAGATGAGAAAAACTGTCCGGCCTCAAATTTTTGGAAAAACATCATAAATGAATCCTGGAAGCAACTTTCTTTCTTTTACATTTTGGGAATCTTCTCAATGATTTGGATATATGCTTTTTTCTGCCAATTTTTAGACTTTGGTCTGAATTTTTCAAAAAAAATAATATTCCCGCTACTTTTCTTCCCTTTTTTTTGTTTCGCGTTGGTCTAGTACTTTTTATCCGCCTTTTGTTTCATCCTCATTGTTCGNACTTTCTCCTGCCACCTTTTTTTCTTCTCCTTTTTTCACTTTCCCAGTAAATCTGTTACCTACAAGTATCAGAGTGACCTCTAGTCGAACATAACACAAGAACTTGTCAGTAGTAACGGGCGATAATTGGTTTCCAATTAGGGTCCCGTGCTTTCGTCGTGGTCGTCGTCGAACGATAGCCGCGACCGCTCGATGTGTTTCTCAATGAAAAACGTCTTGTCGTCGGCAGAGTAGTGTCACCGTTTCCCGTCGTCGTCGTCGATTATTCGTATGAATGGCCTCTGCTCTGTTGAAGAGGGGGGAAGTAGTGGTTCGTTCAAGAGTAGTTCTATGAAGGGACACATTGTCGCCTCGGGCAATTGCTTTTCGTCGAGGGACTAAAGAATGTCGAATGACAAGAATCCAATAGATATGAAATACGATACGTCTTTGCTCTAAGTAGGCAGTAGGCGAGGGTGTTTGTTAGTCCCCAGGGCATTCGCCTTGTCTATGCAGTTTTGGAGGCTCAATGTTCAAGTAGAAACCTCCATAAGCTGAACCGTAAGCCACAAATCTTGCTCAAGCTCCTATCCAATCAGGCCCAAAAAGTTAATTCGACAAATCTTGATTTGTATGAAGCATTCCGTTCTCAGAGTTCGGCAACTGACAGATGCGCCTTCTACCACCCCACCATCTCAACCTTTAAACACGTTGGAAGCTAGTATCGACGCTAACTTCAGAATAAACTCCGTCCGATTGCCTAGAAGTTCCTTCCACGCCGAGGAGTGCCTCAACGTCCGGACATGGTGAAGGGAAATTGGATTGTTATGATCATTATGACCACCTGAACGCTATATTAAGAAGAGGTGGTATGTGGCCAAATGACGCCGCTGCTACTGCTCAAATGGTCTGGAGATTGAATCCAAGCTCAAGCTGATCTATTCCTCTATAACTACGAGGAAAGTAGCCGGTACTTCACGTTTCTGGGAGAAAAGATGCATTGACGAGTGCATCAGACCTTTGAAGTCTATGTGTAAAGACGATGTCGCTTTCAGTCGTCCCCCTCTTTTTGACTGCGCCACGTATACCTCGACGCAGTACAAAACGAAGCTAGACATTCCAAGAGAACATTCTCTAATCAGGCA